AGCTTCCCAGAATGCGGTAGAAACTCTACGAAAGCCAGGCAACCTGCAAATGCGGAAAGGGATGAGGCGTGGGTGGAGGGTACCGCCATCTGAAAAACTCTGGAGGGATGGACTGGGACCCTAGGAAGGCCAGAAGGGCTCACAGGCCAAAGATTTCCCACCTGTGTCCTAATGCTTTCTGGAATAAAGCGCACCAGGAATGAGTCAACAGCTCCGGCAACTGCAGGCAATTATCAGTTTGTCAGAAGATGGTGACATGGCAGGTTAACTCTCCAGGGAAGCAGGAAGCTGTTCCAAGAAAATCTTTCAAGGTAAATGATTTCATCATACAGGGTGACAGTCAAGGCTCAGTGTTATCTACTCCAAAGGAAGCATGTTTGGGTGTATGTTTTTTCAAGTATGGCTCATTACAAAATCTAAACCCTAGAAAAGCCCCTGCAGTGAAACTGTGTTAAGAAATATAAGCACAGCCTCCCCCAGTCTTCACTGCACTTAACTGCAGCACACAGCACCTTCTCTCCTAAAACGATTGGATTAGTTTAATATGGAAGTCTCACCACATTTGGAACAACCAGTCCCTTCCTCTATTGTTGTGATGAGCAGAGGAGCCCTGCTTTACCAAATGGCTTGCCCACTGCAACTTCTTCCTTACTGTCAAATATTAGCCACATGTGATGGTGCTTGGGAGCCTGGCTGGCATGGTGACTAACATGCTTTTATTTTTTTTCTTCTTAACCGTAAGAGCTAGAGACTTGCTTCGTTTTTAAAATGAACATTGCAAATTGAATTGCACTGGGACAAACCCATTTACCTTACGGGTTGTATTCCATAGTGCGCAAATGACACAGCTGTGGCCATATTGTTTTTGAGACAAAGGGTAGTTCCACAGAAAGACTTTTACTATAGAGTCACCATGACTTGTTGTCTGTGCTTTCACGCAAGGGTCACATAGCAGTGTCAGGCACTTGTAAACAACCCACATTTTCCTAGTACTCATGCCTTCTTTTTTCTTAACAGGGGAAATCTATTTTAAGGACAGCTTGCAACAGTTCTGTGTTCCACAGGTGCACGGAGTTGATCCTTTTCATGTGTCTACATTTTGGGAAGGGAACCTTGAACACAAGGCCTTCCTCTTGCCTTTGTTCTATCGCCAGCACAGTTTTGTCCTCAAGTTTCACTCCCATGGTGGCAACATCGGATGAAGGAGTCTCCCAAATTAGCACAATGGCAGAATAGTTTTCTGGGGAAACACTGGATTGCCTTGCTATTGTCAATAAGAGGTCAGAAGCTAAAACACAGGGCCATCAAGGCAGCAGTCACTGTAGTATTGACTCCTTTGAAAGTAACAGGAATAGATGCCTTGGAGCGCATGGGCTAGCAGGGGAAGGACAGATACCTGTCAATACCTGTCAATACCTGTCAATGGGGCAGGTATTTCTTTGTCAATTGGGAGGGAGAGTGGACTTTTGCCCTTGCACAAGACTGCCTCCCCCCCGCATTCAAGGTATATTTAAATGGGAAAATTGGCTTGGAATCTTTGGATACATGCCTGCAGCCATTATATGTGTGGATACAAGGATTGTGGCACCCCACGCCTGACCCAGTAAAATGGTGCAGGCTTGGCTTTGCCTTTTGGGAGAGAGAGTGGACTTTTGCACTTGACCCCAGGTGCTCCCCCTACACCAAGACTCCATTTATCTCGGTGTGCATGTGGTCTTATGACGGCTCCCGCAGCCACAGGCATCCTGGCGGCAGGCATCCTGGAACTGACCGGGAAGGACTCGGGAAGGAGCGCCAGGCGGCAAACTCCGCCCAAGTGTTGTTCAATGGGCCCCGCAGGCATGCCCAGAGAGGTCTGGGCAGAGGCGATGGACAACGGCGACTTGAATGGGGAGCTGAAAACTGGCAAGGGCCATCATGCTCCAGACACCAGCAAAATCAGCACAGGAATACTAGTGTGAATAGCCCACCACACCCTTCTTGTTCCTTTCCTGCCAGAGATCGCATACCGTCCTGGCTACACTGTCTTGAGAATGATGATCCTGAGGCCATTCGCCTGGCCTGGCTGGAGTCCACCAGGAGAAGAACCTCCTGTTTGGTGGCCTCATTTGGTGCCATTCCCTGTCTCTGGAAGCCAGGCAGGCACCCTTATTGTGCTGTTTTCGGTGCCTGCTGAAGACATCCTAATTCCAGGAAGGCCTTCTTGCTGACCAGGCATGTCAGTTAGTTAGAATTTTTGTATGCCATCCCATTCTCATGAGCCTCGGGACAGAATACATACTTGGTTATTAATGTTACTTTGTTTCTAATGTACTTTGTTTTCATTATTTTATCTCTTTTAGCTTTGTATAGTTCACTGCTCCAGAATCTGCTTTGATACAGAGCAGTATTTTTAAATACTGTAAGTAAATAAATAAACATGGCATCTCCAAATTATAATCTTGTTTTGGCCCCAGCCAAGAATTTCTTCCTTTTCCTATGTTCTTTTCCCATTTGTTTTCCTCTATATAATCAGCTGTGACAGTTTCTATTTTTCATTTCATCATAAACCTGCATGCAGATTGCTCTAGTAGGGTATGATAAAAGCCTTGTTTGGAATCGTCCTTCCTGCATACAGTGTAAACTGAGTTAGAAGATAAAAAAAACATTTTATATATAGATACACAGATATAGGAAAACTGGAAAAAGAACAAGGATATATATAAAGGGCCAAGCACACCCAGCTATTACAGTTAAGCAAACTATTATGGATTGCACAGAAACTATGGGAGAAAAGATAATTAATATACTTCAGCACATATATTCAGTTTCTTGTATTAGCAAAGGCATTGGCATTAAAACTGCAATTCTATGCAAACAGAAAAAAGACTACAATTCCCTAGCCAGCATGGATGGTTGGGGCATGAAAGAAGCTGCAATCTCTCTTTTTTCCCGTCGTGGTTTAGGTTTGTGCTAAAAGACAAACCCCGGGATGATCCGTTACCCTAACTTAAGACCCATTTATTTTAATGGGTCTGCTCTTGGTAAGAGTAACATGTTTTTCTTTTATGTTCAGAACAATTTTCCTCATCACCGACATTCTCCATGTAGGAGGAGAAATACAAATTCATTGAGGATTTTATTATTGCATTGGATCTGGAAAATTCAGGAAACAAGTATCTGTCCAGATTACTAATGGTTAAACATCGAAAAGGTATAGATTTAATCAACATTGTTTATTGGTATAATAAAATGTGGAACTTAGCCATTAATGACAAATTAACATGTGATTTGAAAATTAAGAGAGGGGAAAGGAAAATAAATGTGGAATGTTTTTTACTATATGTATTAGAGAAACATAAAGGGAAATATCCAATGAAAGATGCTCTGCATTTTTGGAGAGACATGGGGTATATCGGAGATCTTTTGTAAGCTTTACTCCCAAGGGTGATGGGAGCACTATGTTGTTATGTATAGCTTTTAGTCTATGTATTATGTAATTTATGTTATTTGTATAATTTTGTTATGAAGTTTTTGTAAATAAAAGAAAAAACAGAGGGGAAAAAGGAGACAATATCATATACATTCAAGAGGAGTGAGACTTGGATTTTACCCTTCAAAGTAGCCTAAATCTCATTTTGAATAAATTAAATAATAATATTGTTCAAAAACAAGTGTGCACGTTCTGAGATTCATGGAACTTAAGTCAGAAGATTGATGTACTATTCATTTTACACAAGGCTAAGCTGGTTATGGCTATGTTTCCAAAAGTGTCATTTTCAAGTCCATAAGTGGCAGTAGAGGAGAGTGGACAGATCATATATCTCAAACTGGAAGAGCTGCATCCAGCACTGCCAAAGCCTTCTTATATCTTCTTGGTTGATGACCTCTGACCCTCCATTAGCACAGAAATAATAGTTCCAGTCAATTCAAAGGCACTGGATGATGCTTAATAAATAAGTGTGAGGCTCAAATCATGCCCTGTATTGACTCTCATTTGGGAAAAAGCACTCTGTATGTGCTCAGAAGCAGTTCCTCCCCATTTTGGTGTTAAACTGCAGTAGTCCTTGTTCAAATTAAGGCCAAATTAAAACAAATTAATTTGTCACCCTGGGTGATGCATTTTATACTCTATAAAGATGTTGTAATTGATCAATCTATAGCAACTAAAAACACAGAGTCACTTTATAAATAAAAGCTACCCTTAAAATTAAGTATTTTCTAAACTCTTTCTCAGCAATTTGTTGTGATTCCAATGAATTTAAATCAGTATCTGAATATTTTTTCTGACCAGATCATAATGTTTGGGATGTGGTGGTTTGGTCATTTACAGCAGAATAATCGTAAAACTTAGGACATTTTAACCCAATCTTAGATTCCGTACTTTGGATGGTGTGTTTTAAATCCATTTAAAAATAAACGAGATGGTTTTTAAAATCGGTTTACCTCTTAACCTGAGAGCAACTGTGAAGCAGTGGTTAAGAGTGGGATCCAGGCGATCTGGTTTCAAGTCCCCACTCAGCCATGGAGCGCACAGGATGCCTCTGGACCAGCCACAGACTCTCAGCCCAACCTACTTCACAGAATTGCTCTTGTGAGAATAAGATTGAGAGAAGAATTATGTAAAACCCCTTCGCTTCCTTGAAAGGGAAAAAGGCGAGATATAAACAAACAAACAAACACTTCCCATCAACGATCTTTTCTGTTCTGCGTAATCCCAGAAGCGTGCATATTACTTCTTTCACACGAGCCAGGTGTCCTTGTGATTTACCTGGCTACGCTTAATAGCTGGGAATCGGGTTTCCTCCGATCCATTTTTAAACGAGCCCCGCTCGGGTCTTCCGCTGGGCGCAGGGGCGGCGGTGACTAAACGCGCTCCCGCCGGGCGCCTTTCCCGCTCCTTCCCAGGAAGTGGGCGCGCGGGGAGGGGGCGCCGAGGCGGGTGAGCGCAGAGCCTGGTTGGGCGGCTGCTCCTCGGGACGTCACTCGGGAGGCAGGGCCGGCCTGCCGGGGGCTGTATAAATGCAAGCGAAAAGCGCCGCTCGGAGAAGTTGGAGCGGGTTCTTCGCAGGGGCCTTTAGGCGGAGCTTACGGGAAAAGAGGATCGCGGGTCTTCTGCAAAGTCTCCCCTCTCCTGGAAGCGGACTTTCCGAGGTGAGCTTGCTTTTGCACGCGTCGTTCTTCACATCGGTGGGTTGGGGACGTTGGGAATCGGGAGAGAGGATGCGCTTGTTCCGACGGTTTGCCCCGCTGCATTTGGGAAGAGGGACGGAGCATCGGATGTCTTTCGTACGCTGTTCTCTCCCAGATTTTTGGAGGGGGCCGAGAGAGGGCTTCGGGGTAGGATCCGTGCCTTTGTGTTTTAAAGCGCGTGCAGTTGGGGAAGTTCAAAGGGGCGTATTTCTTCCCCTTTCTCTCATTGTGTGGATCGGAAACCCTGATCCGGATTAGTGATTTAATGTGGACACCATTCCGCGGGGAGGGCCCGCTGTGCATCAGCGGAGCAGTGCGATTTTGTGTCCGCAGCTCCTTCGCCCTCTAGTTCTCCAGAGGAGAGTGAAGGGCGCTCGCTCCTCTTCTTTCCATGCAAGGATGGCTTGGCGCATTTCTTAGTTGCGGGGGCTGAGCCACTTAAGTGGGGTGGGGCGGCTACTTTGGAGTAAGTTAGCAGCCGAGGAGCCTTGCAGTTATGCACGCCGCCTCCTCCTTCCTTTGCATTAGTAGCCAAGTCAGAAGTGCGTGCCTGAATGTGTCGTGGGAGCGCTCTGAGAGCTCTCTGTCGCTTGGCTCCTCCAGGTCGGCCCCATGACCCTGAACCGCGGCGACAAGCTGAGGTACCTGGACCGGCGGCGCGGCAGCATGCCCTTTGCGGCGCACCAGCAGCAGCAGCACCTGCACCGGCGCAGCATGCCCGTGGACGAGCGGGACCTGCAGGCGTCGCTGCCGCCGTCGCCGCGCGGCGAGCTCTCCGGCCTGGTGCGCTGCACCTCGTACAGCCCGGGCGAGGACGAGGCGCACCGCCAGGGCTGGGCGTCGGACGGCTCCACCGACTCGGTCATCTCCTCCGGCAGCGACTCGGACAGCAACCTCTACAAAGTCATCCTGCTGGGCGAGCACGGCGTGGGCAAGACCAGCCTGGCCAGGATCTTCGGCGGCGTCGAGGACTGCCCCGAGGCCGACGAGGCCGGTGAGCGAGCGAGCGCGCGAGAGAGCGCGCGGGGCCGGGGCGACGCAGCCCCCGCGCGCCCCCCGCAGCGCGAGGGCAAAAGGGCCGCGCCCGCGGGGCCGGGGACAGGGTGGGGGGGACTGTCGCCGTCCTTCTGGGGCTGATGGGGACTGTAGTCCAAGAGCAGTGGCTGCTACTTTTGGTCATTTAGAGCCAGCGAGAAATAAGCGTTTCCCTTGGTGGGGCTCCTCTTGTGACAGGAAGTGCAGTGAATCCGGTAGGGGTGCCCTCGGTTTATTCATTATCAGATTTTTATCCTGCCCTTTCCTCGTTTGGAAGGAACCCAAGGCAGCCTCCTAGTTGACCTGCTCTCCCAGTGCAAGTCCTTGGGTTAGGCTAGGTCGAGAACCAGTGATAGGCATACAGGCAGTGAGCTTGGCAGCCATGTGGGAGGCTAGATCCCGGATCTCCCATCCAATTCCAGTTCCTATCATCCCTTTCCATCAGACTTGGTGGCTCTGGCAAACAGGAGTGGTGTTGCAAGAATATCAGCTGCTTTGAATGCCATTTTTGATCAAAAGTAAGGTGCAAATAGTGCGAATGCACTACTGGGGGGTGCTAACACCCCATTCTTGCCTGAAGAAGGAGACTTTGCAGATTGGCCCAAAGGCCCGTGTCCTCCAGCATCCTCCTTCCCACAGTGACCAACGAAATCGTGGCTCTGGACGGCTCACTAGCTGAGCCTGAAGGCTCCATGCTCTCCTGCAGTTGTTTTTCAGCTATTGTAATTGGTAGCCCTTGCCAGCCTTATTCTCCAGGAATTGCTTGCTTCTCTTTCAAGGCAGCTTTCTTAGTGGTAGTTGCCAACATTGGTGGCAAATATAGAAGTCATTATGGACCACTTCCTTTCAGCCTCTCCAGAATACCTTACTCTGCATAACCTGTTTCATGAGATAAAGAATGTTTGTTTCAAGAAAAGAAGTTGGATTTTGTCCCTTATGTATCTATTAAATTTAGAGACAATTGAGATTTGGCACTTTCTTCCAAAAACTGGCTCTTAAGGTGGTTAACAGAAACAAATCCCATTTTTCCATATTCTGCATGTGGCCATTCTCTGTAATGTTGTCAGGGTGCCTGGTGACCTTTCCTCTTTGCAGGGACCTTAGATTAATGGTCGAGAGCACATGCGGAAGGTCTGAGGTTCAGCCTCTGGCCGTGCACAGCAGGGTAGGCAAAACATTGATCCACTAGCTTGCAGGCAATGCAATGCGTATAATACAGTGCCCCAGACAAGCAAGCAATATGACCCTGAGTAGTGCATGCAGTTTATAGATTCTTATATAATTAAACTTTTAAAAATTATATTTAAAAGATCCATAGACTGATACAATTTTAATTTCAATCCCTGATTTTACTTTTTTAAATTGAAATTTAAATTAAAAATATAAACTCAGTGATGCTAAAAAAGTAGATCTTTCAATGTTTTGGATTTGCATTCCCATCATTCCTGACAATTGACTGTGCTGACAACGGCATCTGGAATTTGAAGTCAAGAACTGCAGATTTGCTTTTTGCCCATGCTTGCTATAAACACTCCTGAGTTAGAGGGATCCACAGTCTGAACACTTATGAAGCAGTTCGTGTTCCCCTTGGATGTGCTGTGGTAGAATGTCTTGGATCTGGTCCTGTTGCTGGACCAGAATCTTTGACCTGCCTCTGAGGGCTTAGAGTTCTTGCAGAAAATAAGACCCTCTGAATGAGCATTAAGACCAGGCTTAATTTGAGACTGGGCACAATAGGACCATCTGCTCAGCAGTGGAGCATTATGAGCGTCGCTGCTCGTTGCTGAAAACACTGCTAACCCCCTGTCCTGACTTCCAAGGTAGCTCAAAATAGAATTACTACCTGCAATATAGAAAACATTCAGCTATGCACAGATATATGCTTTACACATAGGAAATTCTCACGCTGTTCTTAGATTGCTGCTGCCATTCAGAATAGATGGACCAACAGCATGATATGACAGGGACAAGAACTTGCACCTTAAGCAAATGAGGACTTTGAGCACAGGTAGTAGAAAACATCTGGGGTCCCCAGGCTGCTTACCCCCATTGTTCCCACACGAGAAGGACACTGTGTGTATTGCTGATGTATTATTTTCCTTGCCTGGTTGCAAAACGCTGTTTTGAGGAAACCAATGATGAAATGTAAAACTCCTATAACTAAGAATCCCACTGTGCAACTGGTCTAATGTCACACTAAAATTTCTCAGCCTAGCTTATTTTGCCGATAAGATGGAGAGCTTCTGGAAAAGGGAGGAAGGATGTAGAAATGTGACACAGGCTGAAATTTCTCACCTCCCAGAGTAAAATAACCAATAGAAAATGTGCACTTCTAGTGCAAAACATCTTTTCTCCTGCAGACAAATATCCATGGAAAAGCTGCAGTGACAAGTTCATGTATTTCAGTTTAGTGGCACAATATGTAGTTTTTACCTAGAACTCTTAAAATATCTTCAGGGGTGTTTGTGGCATTTTTTAAAAACAATGCTGAAAAACTTCTGGACATTTATAATTACCCAGAAAGTTGGAACATTTTGTGCTAAAGTGATCATTTATCTAATCTCATCTACTGAAGATGCAAAATTGTACTCTTTTTGCCTTAATGAGGAGGAGGAAATAGACTGAAGGAACTGCACATTTTATTTGCTTAATCAAAGTATAAAAAAACAAGGCAATACATATTTTAGCAACATCCATGCTATTTTGGAGCACACAGTTGAAAATATGCACTCTAATTCAAACTTAAGTAGATTTAAAAATGCAGCTTTTACATTCCTTCTATGTCTGCATGGGAACTATTTATGCAGCAGGAAATTTGGGAAGGGAAAATGCTTAGAAGCAGGACGGGTGACAGCTGCTTCTTTGTTCATAAACCAGATTAGACGTTCCATCCCCATCGTTTGCTTGCTCAGATGGGGTTCACTTACATTGTTATATTTCAATTGACTTGGCACCTCACCCTGAGACTCATTTGCTTTGACACGAGTCCCAGGATTTTGAAACAGAACTAGCTTCTCTAAGGCTGCAGTCCTGTGTCCGATTACATGCTGAGTAGTCTTGCTTCTGAGTCAGCATGGTTAAGATTGCACTGCCTGTACCTGTATTTAAGACGATGGTGTGACTGAGTCATCTCAGGCTGGGGGGTTGCTGGGGAAGTTCGAGTCCGACATAGGATCTCACTGTTCAATAACTTAAAGGGCTGTCACACAGAGGAATGCCTGGGTCTCTCCTTGATCAGGACAGGGAATCACGGGCTCAAGGCAGAGGAAGCCAGGTTCCAGCTGAACATCAGGAAAAACTTCCTGATTTGTTGGAGCGATGCAGCCCGTGGCCTAGGGAGTCTGTGGGCTCTCCCACCCTGGAGGCATTCAAGATGTGACTGGACACAGCCTACTCTTCTATGGTTCGATGTTTCTTTGCATAGCTTATGATAAAGATCATAGAGTTAGGAAAAAGTGTTCTAATATACCTTTAAACGTTTCTCCTACAGGTAACACTTATGACAGATCTATTGTTGTAGATGGCGAAGAAGCCTCTCTTGTGGTGTTTGACATATGGGAGCAGGTAAGGGCTAGTTTCTTCAATATCTTATGTACACTTGTATTCATTTTATGGCCAAAACATTTTCCTTTGTTGGTGGTTACTTTACTGGTATCCAGGGGTAATATAGTCACTGTTTCCTGGCACTTGCTGCAGTTGATTCACTGACATCCTGTGTAAATTGCATGGTGATAAATGTGCTATGCAGCCTGATCTCAGGTGTGTTTACCCAGAAATAAGCCCCTCTGTGTTCATGGGGCTTACTTATTAATGTTCTTAGGAGTACAGCCTACAGCCACTCATTCTGGCGTTTGCAGGAAATTGTACCATAGAAATAAACCAATCTAAATCCATTACAGCCAAAATGCTAAACATATTGGTATATTTGGAATATAGTGTTTAGATGGATTGTTCCAGAGCTTAGTAGTATGGTCCTTTGTGTAACCTCTTGGAAATAAGCCCTACTGTGTTAAATGGGCTTATTATATTTATATCCCACCTTTTTTCTGGCAAGAAATCCAAGAGAGCTTAGAAAATCATCCTTATTTTATCTTCACAGCAACAACCCTTTGAATTAGTGGAGTTAAGGTGTAGAAACTTTGAACCTACTACGATGTGGGCAAATACTGCTGGTCTTTGGGACCAGTGGCTTGCTCATTAAGCAAGAATAAAATGTTGACATCGTTTAGTTCATGTCATAGTTTGAAGGGCAAAAACTCGACTCACGATGCATCTCCGAGCACTGGTACTGCGCTCCCTGCTTTTTCTGGGCCTCTTTCATAATTTGCATTTGTTTGCTTATGCCTAGATCACACCCACATCCACGTGCACCTAGAGTTTTCACATTACATCTTTCTCTAGAAAACTGCCCAGCAACACCCAGTGGCTCCAAGCATTCTGACCGGCTGGGGCATGCTAGAAGCTGTGTCTGTTTTTTCTGCCCAGATATCCATAGGATTGTGCCCTTGTGTACTTTTTAAAAAGTTGGCCTAAAAGTCAAGATCTAATCGGGTGTTGTTTGCTCCTGCATAAAATGCTATTTCTTATTTTTAACTTTAGGATGATAGTCAATGGCTTCAGAATCACTGCATGAAAATGGGAGATGCTTACATTATTGTGTACTCTGTGACGGACAAAGTGAGCTTTGAGAAAGCTTCTGAGTTGAGAATTCAACTACGAAGGGCGAGGCAAACAGAAGACATTCCTATTATTCTTGTAGGAAACAAAAGTGACCTGGTCCGATCACGCGAAGTCTCGGTAGATGGTAAGAGACATTAGTTATCCTACCATAAATTAAGTATTGACCAAAATTGTATTGGAATTGAGGGTGTTTTGTGGTTCCTAAATTGGTGTGCTAAATTGTGAAGTGAGCGAAGCAGAGCAAAGGTTCCATCAGCTGCTCTGACAGGGCGTGTTTTGGTGGCCTGGTTCCCAAATGCATGGTTTGCTGTAGGGCTGGGCAGTTTAGATGGCTTGTATGCTCACTGGCCAGCTCCATGCGGAGAGCAGGGATGATGTTCATGCATCAAGGTTTTGGCAACCCCCTAGATGAGATAAAGGGCTGGCTCCCAGTGTAGGCACGTGTGCCCGGACTGGCGGAAGTGGCCAGATGGGGCGCTTTGGTTCCATTCCAGTTTGTTCATGCCATCTCTGGCAGCATCTCAGCACCATGAACCACCATCCAGTATCCGCTTGGCCTGGTGGACCTGCCTCTTTCCCAGTCAGTTTCACCACGAAGTGGGACCAGCCTTGTTAGCCATTACAGCAGTGCTTGCAGGGAAGCCATGCTTGGGTTCACTCCCTTGTGGCTGTTGCTGCCAATTCTTCATCTTCTCTGCCAATAAGGAAATGCCAGACTTGGAAGAAAAGGCTTTAGGAGGCTGTCCTCCCCCGAGTCATTCGTCTAGCTTTGATTTGCTGGCATTGGGGTTGCCTAACCACTGGCATCATGGCTTTTTGAAAGTCGTATGAGGGAAGCATCATGTTCTAGCAGAATTAGTGCTTTGGGAGCCTGCTTGGCCAGGTGTTCTTTCTTTTGCATTGTTTCGTGTGTGTGTTCAGGCCCTGGCATCTCCAGGTAGGGCTAGAGCAGGGCTAGCAGCTGCTGCTGCAGTCCGTGTCAGTCATTCTGAGCTATCTGGAGCAGGGTAGGGGTCTGATCTATTAGAAAGCAGCTTCTTGTGTTCTTGTGGTCTCCTGTCCTGTGGCTTTTGACTCATGCAACCTGCTTCCATCTGCCTTGAGAGCAGAGGCAGGGTTGCACTTTGCCTCCGTAGTTCTGGCTAACATGGTGTCTTCCTTCTGCTATCCAGAGGGGCGAGCCTGTGCCGTTGTCTTTGACTGTAAGTTCATCGAGACCTCAGCAGCTCTGCATCACAACGTCAAGGACCTATTTGAGGGGATCGTGCGGCAAATCCGGCTCCGCAAAGACAGCAAAGAAGACAATGCCAGGCGAATGGCCAACACCAAGAGAAGAGAGAGTATAAGCAAAAAGGCAAAGAGATTCCTTGGCCGGATTGTGGCAAAGAACAATAAGAAAATGGCATTTAAGGCAAAGTCCAAGTCCTGCCACGACTTGTCAGTGCTTTAAAAATGGGTTTCTGCGAGACCAGATGCTTTGTGTGCGTGTGTGGGATGTGAATGTTTCTTTGACTGTTAAGAGTGAGGGGAAAAAAGACTGAACACGACACCACACAGTGGGAAAAGCGTTCTCCTTCATGCCTTATGGTTCCTGAGAGAGACTTGGAAGTAAGATGACTGTGTGTCTTCATTTTTTAAAAAGATTTATAGGTTTCAGTCTGTGCAAGCAACTGAATGATTTCAGATTCAGTGGCTTTGTATACCTGCATCTCATTGTGTATATTTGCTGGCTGTTCTATGAATTTCCAGGATATGAAGGTAAGAATGGATGATACAGGAGAGGGGAAATGAGAGAGTATATTGCCATAAACTCATCCCCATCACAGAGCAAAACTTGAATACATGTACGCAGGCTCGTACACTCTCTTCTCTTTGGGATATATATAAATAGAGATATATATTAAAAAGCAATGATCTTTTGAAAAATGTGGGCTGGAGAGGTGCCATTCAAAGTGCATTTGAAAGAAAAATAGATTTAAATATAATTTTGAAGTTAATTTGCACTTTCATTAACTGTTGTTTTGTTTACATGCAGATTTTATAATAAAGTATTTCTGGTTATTACAAGAGGCCATTAGGTTTTCTCTCCCTTTCCCTGTATCTCCTACTATGTGCCCAGAGTGATGGATTAATTTTTAAAATACTTGCTGAGGATGACAGACCAAGCTAATAGAAATCTATCTGTTTGTTTATGCTTTTTATACCATTTGGTAGCAGCAAGTTCTCTTGCTATGTAAGCATTAGCAGTTCTGCAACAAACTTTAATATATATATATATATATGTATATATATTAATTTATATTTAACAGAAAGCAGCCTCAAGAAGCTTCAGGTTTGAGGAACCGTATGTGTGCAGGGAGTGTACTTCCTGGGCTGGTTCGCTTCCTACCCAATTATTTCTCTGCTGGAGCTCTTTTTCCACAGACAGGGTTCAGATTTGCACAGGTCAGGCTCCTGCACAGCTGCAGGTCCAGGTCCAGCTCAAGGGCATGGAGATCCTGTCCCTGCTGGCCACTTGCCTTCTTGAGGCCTGACAGCAGCCCATAGGCGCTTCTCCTGCTTCTGGGTATGCGTCTGGGACCCTGCATGCTTTGCCCAGTTGTGTGCGCGCATGTGTATGTGTTGGGGAAGCAGGTGAACAACGTTTCTGGATGGAGAAACGAGCTGGCAGAGCACATTACATCTCTTTCCTCCTCCAACTTCTAGTAGTTCTTGCCGGCTGAGCCAAGAGGGTTTGTGGGACTAGCTGTAGTCCAGCGACCTTTGGAGAGCCATAATCTCCCTATTCCCGCTCTGTAAACTAGAATAGATCTCTACCCCCTGTGTTCAAGAAGACTCTTGTTGGTTTGCTCCTTGGATAAATGCAGTGGGCCTTGCGCAGTGTATGTTTATCACAACAGTGAGAGTGTGTTTAATTGTTGAACCACTGTAATACTATGTGTTTTTGTGTGCACACAAGCAGACATGCACATGCCTGTGCATCCTGTGCTTTAAGTCACTGCTGATTGTGTCGTAATATGGAAGGTCTAGAACCTGTCGTCACATGATGTCATAAGCTGATGTTTCACGGTTTTGAACCTGCGTGTATGAATCAGCCTGTAAAGTAAAGAAGGGAAAGGCCTTAGTGTGTTCCCAGAGAGTTGATGTGTTTATTTCGAGGGCAGCAAGGCCAGGATCAGGGTACCAATGCCCTGACCACGATTTTCATGATATGACACCAGGGTGGCCACATATGCTCCTTAAGGAGAACTGTTCCCTCTGTGAAGGGCTGCTCAGTTCAAGGCCGGTTTTTAGCCAAAAAGTAATAAGGCGACAGAGCAGCAGGACCTTGGTGTTGCCTCTCCGCAGTTGGCCATCTGGGCAGCAGATGGAGCAAGAATGCATGTCCGTCTTCCCCATGCTCATGAGGTGTATTATCTTTCTATTTAAAGTGCAGCCATTATTTCTGCAAACGTTATGCAAACCTGCTTCTTTTGTCTTACTTTTTGGTGATGCCGCATTGCCTTTTCTTTGGTGATGCATTGGTTGATGCTGGTGTTGGTGACGATGCTGGTGCTGAAGCAAGATGTATCTGCTGCTATGATCTGTAGAACAAAACAAGAATCAAGTGTTCCTTTTGTTCGCAATTTTCAAATTGTCCACCCCCAAATATTTTGAAAGCACCAGTCAGAACATGCATTTGGGAAGTTGCTTTAATATATTTTCAAAATTATTAATACTGCATCTCATACCTGCCTACTCTGAGATAAGTCTCAGGGTCTCAGCGGAGTTTTTCTCCCAGGTAAGCTGCAGTCTTACTCATACAAAACATGGAATAAAGGCCAAATGCTTCTCGCTTCTCATGGGCGTCTTTTGCGCTCATTGGCTGGAACACCAGCCGGTGGAAGCAAGCTTATTCCTCCCTGCAAGCTTTTCTGTGTATCTCCAGAGGGTAGCGGATGGGAGGCAGCCTCCGCACCCTAGGGCTGCGGCCCTGGTCCGACTCCCTTGCTTCAGGGTGTTACATCATAAGACTGGCCCTGCCCATGGCAGGAATGAGCATCACCACCACTATAATGTCCTCGGACTGAAAAGGTGAATGGAAGCAAAGCCTTCTGAACGGACCTGATGTGGTCCTTGATGCTGCTTGCTCGGGTTAAGGGCCCCCAGCCTTTTGGTTGAGTTTTGAGAGTGTCCACTCGCTGGGCGTTCTCACCAAAAGGTTGCCCAGTGAGGGGGGCAGGGGGGCTTGCCCAGTCATAAAATGGTTGCTACAGTGGGGTACAGCCAGGCTCTGAACACTCATTTCGCAGCATACGAACCGGTAAGGCTGAAAGAAAAGTAACTTGGCCCGAAACCCTGACACAAGGCAGAGGTGGGGCTGAGCTCGATAGCATCGCACCCACTCCTTGGAAGCCAAACAGGTGGGGCTCCAGAGCACCACTTTGCTTTGCAGCAGGATTTCCCTGCAGCGCCAGAAACAAGTTTGTTCGGGTGCTGTTCAGGGGGTATTCCCTGACCCTCTGAACTCAGACCATGATGGAAATCCAAGCATGGGGGAGCACAGAAAGAAGGGTGGCCTCTGTGATTCTCCTGCCCGGTCAAAGCCATCGATGGCCAGTGCTGGCTGCCCGTGTCTTTTGTCCCTGCTCACAAGTGGGAAGCACTGAGCCGCTACCGGGGTGCCTTGTACCCCAGCAGAGCCTCACTGCTTCTCACTGGTCCCTGGACACCACCAGCCAGCCAGCCAGCCAGGTCAGGGGTCACACATTGACTTTGGGGCTGCGGCCAGCATCGAAGGAGCCGCCCTGAGGGTGAGGAAGGGTCCTCTGAAGTCCGAGGCCAGCCCTGACCTTGGGATGCATTTTCAGGGTCAGAGCTGAGCCATCGACCTCCCCCGTGGCCGTCTCAATAGCATCTCCTGGCCATACAATTCTGTCTTCTTCCAACCCTAAGAAATAAAAATTGTGGGGTGGGGGTGGGGGTGGGCAGGAAGGAACCAGGTGGTTGCCAAGACAATTACGTGCGGGCATCGTGGGAGGGATCCACATCTCAGGTTTGTCTGAATACAGGCTGACTAACCAGGTAGGCCTGTCTTGCAGAATGCCGCAATTCCGGGCTTCGGTTGAATTCTGCCTGCCACTGGTGGGAACGCCTGCGCAGCCCTAGCTAAAGAAAACCGGAGGCAGTGAAGGGCAAGTCCGTGTCCAGGCAGGTCGTGTTCAGTCAGAGGAAAGATGCATTGCAAGGCTCTTGCTAGATTTCCGACCCAGGGATGAGGATGATAGGACTGCCATGTCTGTGCCTCCTCCTAGCTGACCTTCTCTGAGCAATGCACAATTCAGCATGAGTACCATAATAAAAATACAGATGCGTAAAAATACAGGCACAGTAAAATTCCAATATACAAAATTTAAAATGGATTAAACTTCAAAGCAGGTGCACTTCTGATGTTTACTGGACATTCACTCTTCTTGGAGAGGCATGATTTCAGCCCACTCTCACTGTTCAGCTACTGGCAGATGAAAAGATAACTTCTTGGCTGTCATTAAACCGAACTCTGCTTTTGCACTCTAGTTCAGCTTTTGGGGGAGCTTTGCAAAGCTGAGAGATTTTCTGTATTTTGCTTGGAGACAGCCAGTTCCAGCCGTTCCCCCCTCCCCACCCCCTGCCCCTGAGTGCTGAGCTGAAACTGCCTTTTAAAAATAAGTATATGGATGCATATGCTGTACAGTCACTATTTAAAGCTATGCTGTTCTCAGAGCACAATATATTATGATGTGTCAGTCGTAATAAGGTGGCAGAGTGAATGTGAGCGAGCGACCGCCCGGGAGCTGCTCAAGGACACAGCGAACAGTTACGCTCATGAATACACTGCATTGTAAATTGGGCCTGGCTTTCGTGCGTCGGACTCTGGAGCAGCCCTCCTGATCGACAAGAGATTTCTCAGGAACAGAGACGGTCTGCAACGCGCTCCAAAGGATAAGAAACATTGCCACTTGATATTCAGGTGGTGTATTTCTGGCCTTTCAAGTGCTTTTGCAACTCTCTCTGTCAATCATCCTCACAGCAGCCCTGAAAGGTAGGCCAGTATCCTCATCTTGCAGGCAGAGGTCAAGAGGCTTGCCCAAGGTCACCAAAGAGTTTGTGGCTACACTCAGGTACAGATCGAGCAGATTCATATCTTCCCAGCTGGATCAGGATTACCCATGTTGCTATTCCAGTGCAGCCTCCTCCCACCCGAGTTCAGATGCCAGTGCTTTCTGGATCAGCTTGTTAATTAAACTTTCTGTTATTCATTCAGGGCCATCAGGACACCTGACACTTTGCAGAAAGGGTCACCCTCTCAGCCCACAAAAGGGCCTTCTGCCCTAAGACACATAATAGCAACAGCACCGTGTGGCATTTTTTACATGCGTTTGTTTACTGACTCACACTTTTTGCTATTGCTATCACACTCAGCAGTGCACAGCATTTTAAAATGTAAACAAATCAGTAATTTAAGTCCTGGAACCTGAGTGAGGATTTTAGCCTGACAGATGACTGGGCCCCCTGCACCCTGTTCCACCACTCCTCCTCCCTTGATCCCCCTGTGGTGCCCCAGCGGATGCGATGGAAGAGCTCATCTAGTCTGCCCTCCCCGCAGTTGTGAGCCATTTGCACTTGCAGCCTCCCACCCCCTTTTCACACAGTCCCCCCACCCCAGGCTCAGGTATCACGATTTCCAAGCTGACAGCCAGTGACAGCCACTTCCACGTCCCCCAGTGGCATATTGGAAGGGCTGTGACTGGTTTGTGGCAGGACAGGTTTTGTGCATGAATTTTGCAGATTTTTCATACTTAAAATACTTTTAATTGGACTCACACAGCTGAATACGTGAGAGGTGAAGAAATGATAGGCCTGTGTCTTGGGGGGGGGGGGTGTCTGTTGCCATTTTCACTGGGCTGCCTACCACAACCACGGGGTCTCTTCCTTGGTCACTTTATACTTGCTTATCCTGGACCACATTTGCCATTGTGATACACATTGTCCCAGTTTTGAAAGATCGTTTTGTCGCTCCTTGGAATCTCCTCTTGTTTTAACTGCCC